CACAGCTGGCATGGAGCTGGGCAGCCTGAGAGCTGAAGACACAGCTGTGCATTGATTTCTGTTAAATATCTGGTTTGTCTCCTTGACTGTGTGTTGTGACCTTCTATTGTAGGAGATGTGTGGGATTCAGTGGTGCATTACCTTGATCTCCTCAGCCTGATGCTCTTAGTGTGCCCTTTCTGCCAGTTATGTTAGCTTTCTAGATGTAGTTGGGGTTTGGTTGTTGTTGGGTCATTTTTTTCTTTTTTTAGAGCTAAATTTATTTAGTTATTTATTTATTACAATTTTAATTGTTTTTCAAGTACAGTTTTCTGCCTTTCCCCCAACCCTCCCCACTACCCCAGCCCTCCCCACCTCCCTCACCCAATTCCACCCCCTTGTTGTTGTCCATATGTCCTTTATAATTGTTCCTGTAAACCCTTTAGCCTTTCCTCCTTTATCCCCTCCTCTCTCCCTTCTGATCACTGTCAGCCTTTTGTGGGTGCTTCTCCCCAGCTGGCTGACTGAGAGTCACTGCACCCACCACATCTTCTGTAGAGTTTTGCTAACCCTGCCAGGACAAAACCACACAGACCAGGAAACAAGTGCACACTCACAAAAATTACCTCTACCCCCAATCACACTATCAACAGCAAATAAGCCAGTATTAATGCAGGTGTAAAGAGATTAAGACTATTATCAGAAAGGAGAAATGAATATGAGATGAGTAACTGAAAGAGTAATTTGATTTATTATATTGATCAACAATAGATTATACTGATCAACACTTAAAATAGCATATTTCTAAAAGTATATTTTACTGATTATGCTATTGCAACTGTCCCATTTTTTATCCCTGTTATCTCCTTCCACCTTGCATCCCCCCACCCTCCTGAATCCCCCCAACCTGGTCCAGGTCCATGGGTTGTACATATAAGGTATTTGTCTTCTCCATTTCATATACTATTCTATACTATGCTGCCTGAACAGTCTCAGACAGGGAGTCTGTATTTTCCAGAATGTAGAACTAAATTTTTGTGCCATGGCCTCTTCCTTCTTCTCCAGAGACATGAACAGTTCACCTGAGGTCAGTGGTCACATCACTTTCTTCTCCTGGAGTCTCATCTCCCTGTGTCTCCATTTAGGATTCACAGAACCAAGCATAGTTCAGACAACCGCAGATTGGGCCAGGACCCTCCCACCTGTAAGGGGAACAGCCCTGTGGAGATGCCCCCCACCCTCAGGGGATGGGGTGGAGACAAAATGCAGGCCCCTCCCACCTGCTGGTGGGGCTTCAGAGCAAAGCTGCCACCCACCAACTGGGGGTGCGTGCCCCCTGCAGATGCAATGTGCAGGCCCCACCCACCTGTGAGGGTGGCAGGGTGACTCTGGCTTGGGGAGCCAGGGAGGCCTCAAAGGTGCCACCCACCTGCTGCTGCAGCAGCAGGACTCCAGAGCCGACCCCCACCCACTGGAGATGGGGTGCCAGGGGCACAGACAAAGCGCAGGCCCCACCCACATGTGAGGGTAGGGGCAGAACACAAGCTACACCCACCTTTAAATATAGCAAGGGCCCTTCTGCTCTGGTTTCAGGAGCCAAGGAGACCCCTCCCACCTGTTGGTGGGGATGGTGAGCAGAGCCAACTCACAGAGGGTGCGGATCTGTGGTGCAGACGTCTCCCACCTGCAAGAGGGGAGAGTCATGGAGGGGCCTCACCTCTTGGGGAGGCAGCAGCACCACTGGAGTTCCCCCTGCCTGTGAACCCCAGGGACTGGGTTTAGAGCATTAATGAGGTTTATTTCCTTATTCTCTCTCTCTTCCTGTGTTCTATCACGGAGGGGTTCTGAGACCACTTTTCCCTTCTGGACCATCACATGCATCCCTGTCTCTGGCACAAAGCTGTTGTGCAATATTATAAATGCATTAAGATAGTGTAACACTTCCGATAGTTCATACCATACCGCCCGCAATACTGTTTCAATCTAGAAATGATGCAGTAACTCAAAGAACCATTCACTGGCCATCTCAGCTCATCCCCCAAAACATAAGTAGGCCACACCGTGTTACAATAATAAACCATTAACTGCTTAGTCAAGGGAATCTTGTATGTCAACTTAGCACAGCAATTTCTCCCAGTCCCTTAGGATTCTACCCAATGGACTCCACTTAGGGACTGGGTCAGAACTACTCTTACAGTTCCCATAAAGCAAGCAAAGTTTAGAGCAAAAATAATAAAAATGGCATAAAGACCAGTTATTTCCCCATTTCCCCATCTATTACCCACCATTCCTGCTCAACTATTCAAAAAAAAACAAAAACAAAAACAACACTCAGAAACCAAGTTTTCAACCTAAACACTTTCACATCTCTGCTCCCTCCCGGTTTCATTTCCTTTTCACCTTTCCAGGCCTGATAGGTGGCTGATGCCCTCAGGAGGAGTACAGAGAAATCCTTGAGACTGGGAAAACTCCTAAGCCTCACTCTCTCACACCTGAGGGGGTTGGTCTGCCAAGGATTATTATTGTCCATTTGTGGTCAACAAAAACTGTTACAGTACAAAAGGGGTGGGGGGAGGCAAGGGCAGCCAAGACAATAAACTATTACCCGCAAGGAATCCCCCAGTTCCTTGTGTCCGCCACCAGAGGAAAGACACCTCTCAATGCCAGATATCAATGAAAAGGAAGTTAATTTATTATGAATTTGAAATAACACAGACTAAAGTTCCCAACAAATGCACACAGTCCTCCCAGCACCCTCCACATGGTAAAAGGGAGCACTTCCAAAGCCTTGTGGTCCTGACTCTCACCCAAGCCTCATGGTCCCAACTGAGACACCAAAGCAGTATAGTCCTAAACAGATGTATGGTCCCAAAAAGAGAGACACCCAATGGCTGCTGTGCCTCCATTTAAATCCCAGTAATAATCTTCCTCTGCAGCCCATTTCTGGCTCCTCTCACAATGGTCCAGAGCTGCCCACATTCTGGGCAGGTGTGCCTGTGGTGTGAAGACAATTGCCCCCAAGCTCTTCTGGACCCTATTACAAATCCCTATTTGGGGCTCCCCTGTTGCATCTGTGCTTCCTGAACTTTCCTGTTTTCTCTTTTTCCCCCTCTTCAGGTTCAGACATTTTTGTCATATTTTTTTTTTCAAATCAGATTTCTCTCTCTTGTTCCTTTTCTTCTCCTTCTGGTATTCTTATGGTTTGAATGTTGTGTTTCATGTTATCTTGGAGTTCCCTTAAGCCATCTTCATATTTTTTAGACTTTTTTTTCCATGCTGCTGCTGTGCCTGGGTGTTCCTTTCCACTTTGTCTTCCAGCTCACTAATTTGGTCCTCTGCTTTATCCCACCTGCTTGTAATTCCTTCTAGTGTGCTTTTTATTTCCAAATTTTATCATTCATTTCTTCCTGGCTTTTGCTTATAGTTTCTATTTCCTGTTTCATACTGTTGTAGTTCTCACTCAGTTCCTTGTAGTTGTCAGTGACTTCCCTGAGCATCTTTATAACCCATTACTTGAATTCTATATCTGATAGTTGGCTTACTTCCATTTCATTTAGCTCTTTTAGTGGGGAAAGTTCCATTACTTTTGATTGCAGGCTCTTTTTTTTTGTCTCCCCATTTTAGGTGACTCTTTTTGTTTGTTTCTGCACTTCCTGATGTTTCACTTTGCTATCTGTCTTTGTTGGGTGAATTTCTATGGCAGAAATTCTAGGGGATTCAGTTGTGTGTTCTCTTTGATCTCCTTGTGTGGATGCTCTAGGTTTTCCCTTTCTTCTGTTTGTCTGGGCTATCTTGTTGTACTTGAGCTTTTACCTTTTGGTAGTTTTTTTTTTGTTGTTGTTGGTGGTGGTGGTGGGTTTTGTCATCCAGTGGGTATACTGGGGTTTGCAGCTCCCACTTATTCTTGTATTGATCAGTGGCAAAGGGTCATCAAACTGGATTAAGGCAGTGGGAGAATATTCTATGGAATTTAAAGTACCAACAAGTAAAGAGGAGACAGGAAATTCTTTTGATAAGCTCAAAAATAACCATGATATTATACCCAACTAGCCACTTTTTATAAAAGGTGAAAGAGAGATAAGAGTCTTGTTAGAGGGGAGAAGGATTGTGAGCTCAATCCAGAAAACACAGCACTTGTGTAAGGTTAGATGATGAGATACAGTGAGAGTAAAGGAAGAAAGTAGGGGTAGTGTGGGAGATAATAGAGTTAACCAGAACAATAATAATTCTCAGGAATAAAGTGAAATGGGCTAAGCTCAGGGAGAGGTACTCTACTGTATTTACAATTTTATGGAACAACAGTTATTTACAATAGCAATGGAACAGCAATAATATGACAAGAAATATATGATTTGGATAACCAGAATAGAAAGTACACTATCAAGAGTAGTGTGTTACTGGAACACAAGTGAAGTGGAATAAGGGACATTAAAACACAATATGAAAGATAGAATAAGAGAAAACAGTCAAACAATGTCATAAAACAGAGAAATAAAATAAAGAAAGAGGAACAAAAATAAGTGAAATTTAAAAATATTAATAAAATACAAGTAAAAATAATAGTAATACAAATAAACAATAAAATACCAGTTCTATGGGATAGCAAGTGAAATTTGTCTCAGTTTCACAGATTTTGGGGTAGCCTTGTGCTCTTCCTTTGGATCTGTCTCTGGACCTTTCAAAACTCCAGGTCATATTGTCTCACTTGGGGGAAGAAAAAAGATGCACAGAAGAAAAAATAAGCCTTCTCCTTACTTTTAACCCTTTGAGTGAGTTCTGCTGATCTTCCTGGATGCCACAGGAAGAGGGGGACTGGGCTTCATTTTTTTCACTTCCTGAACTTTTGTGAGGATGGAGACCAGGTCTGGGACATGGTATTCACATTTGCCCAGCTTCCAGCCCAAATCCTCCATGAGCTGCTGAGGCCCCACTGTCCATCTGCACTAGGTCTGCACCTTTAATCCACCAGTTTCACCAAGGCAGAGTGCTGTGCCTCCTCCTTTCTCTTTGCCTGCCCACAGTGGCTGGAGCCCAGTGCTGGGAAAGCCACCCCAGTGAGCTTCTCTGCGTGCTGCACCACTCAGCCTCTGGGCGAGCAGCTGAGGCAAGCTCAGGTGTACATCTTAAACCAGCATAGGGTTGAGGGGTGCCTCGAGCAGCCAGAATCAGCTGCAGTGCCCTCAGCACCTGTCAGCCTCCAGGCAAGTGGCACAACTCAGCTGACTGGCTGCCAACCCCAATCAAGTGCAGGCAAGTGGCTCAAATCAGCCTCAGGGTGAGCTGAGCAAATCAGTGACCCTGCAAGCTGCCTGAGTGCAGTGCGAGCACATGGCTCAAATCCCCTGCCAGGTGAGGCAGATGCTCATGAGAGTTCTAACAAAGAAATTGCAAGCATTTTTTTTAAAGCCTATTGTTTAAGCTCACCATTCTTAAAAAGTGCCTTGATTTTCACACAGCCCAACTTTCTTTCCAGACTGCAGACTATCCCAATCAGGGTCTCACATGGCCCAATTCTTCTCCCTTCTCCAGGTGTCACTGGCTCTCCAATTTGACCAAGCCAGCATCCATAGCCCCAGAGGGTGCATACTGCCTCTGTCTGTCTTTCTCTTTGTCTCTATTATTCCAGCAACTTCAAGCATCCGGGTCCCTTCTGGTGCTGGGTTGCCCTCCCTGCTCTGGTAGGGAACAGAGCTGGGGATCCTTCTCTCCTCCAAGTATCCCACAGCAGGTTGCCGGAGGAGGGACACAGCAGCCTAGGTTCCTGTGCAGATCCCAGGGACCTTAACATCCTAATGCAATCCCCTCACTGTCTGTTTTCAATATCCCCTACAATTTGGCCTCCCGACTTTATACTTCAGAATCTCAGAAGCTGGGATTCTGTTGCCTGCTCACTCTATTCCTCATAAGATCCGTTAGGGGTTCCAGCTGGGAACAGGGAGAAGTGGGCTCTGCTTCCACCTAACTTGCCACCATCTTCAATCTCTCACATACTTCTTTTTCAAAAAGATATGCAGTGACATATGAGCTGTAATGCAAAACTGTTCATGTCATCACACACTATTTTCTGTAAAATGTGTCAGGGTGTTTTCTACATTTTAATGCTCTAGCCAAAATTTTTCCAGGGCAGATGGTTCCCTAGTATAATTACTACAACATACATTCATAGGTGACTTTAACTAGTGTTTTTGTTTTTTTTATATATATTTTACCTCCTACTGTAGCAATCATTACAAATAAAATTATGTGTCTGGAATTGATGAAATCCTGAGGATTAATAAGTAAATCTATAACTGCAATGGTCTGATTATGAGGGAATTTACACTTACTGGTCAAATACTTTCAGTAGCCTATTCAAAAACTTATTCCAACCCATCTTTAATCACCAGGTAAAAGAATAGAAACAACACCATCAACACCTGTGTCAAGATACAAAGGCATAATTTATTTATTTCCATAACCCCCTTAGGCATGCTAAAGCTGAATTTTCTACTATAACTTTAGAGTTTCCTAATAATCTTTATAATGCTAGGAAAGTGAACAATTAAAAGATAGTCACATGAATAAGGAGAAAAATTGGGAGGAAATGTACCCATTAACTGTACAGGTGGATAAAGTGTGGGAGAACCACATGGTCTACCTGGTATCTCCATGCATCTCCCCCACTCTACTCCATTTTCTGCTTCTATTAGCAAAGTGTGAAGGTAAATTAGGACAGAAACAGAAACCTCACCATAGTGCATAGTAAATGCATTGTGTTCGTAGTGGCTGACATGGGGCTAGCCTGTTACAGAGCTGGGCTGGGTCTCACAAACTAGATGTAATGGGAACAACATAAAATTATGACTTCTAGTTTTACATATTTAAAAATTAGCAACTGTGGTAAAAAAATACAAATGTACCCTCTTAGCTATATGAATTGTACAATTTTATAATGTCAATTACACTCACATTGACTTAGAACAAATTGCAGAACACATTCATCTTGCAAAATATGACACTTTATGCACATGCCATCTTCCCCTCCTCCCAGCTCAGGCACTCACCATTCTACTTCCTGCTTGGATACTCTTGCCTACTCTAGAGAGACACTGTGCATAAGTGGGGTCATACAGAAGTATCTTTCTGTGACCGTCTTATTTCTGTCATCATAAAGTCCTCAAGGTCCATCCACATTGAATCATCTGACAAGATTTCCCTTTTTTAGAGTTGCCTATTAAATCCCCAGGGTTTCCTCATCCTACAAGTGGAAGTTTGTCAGATCATCATCATCTGATTCTCCCACTGTCCAACCACCACCTCAGAAAACCACAAATATGATCTTATTAATAATTTTTAAAGGTTCCACATACAAGTAAGATCACCCAAAATTTGTTGTCTTTCTTCCTCTTCTCTCCTGAGAGGAACCACATCCCTTCTTGCGGTGCAGGCAGGCAACATGGTGAATTCTGTTTCATAAACATTTGACACAACAGGGTCAGTTACATATGACAGAAACTTCATCCACAGGATGTAACTGTTTCATAGCTGCTGTCCCTACTGATGGCAGAATACAAATTAACACAAAGTGTACCTCTGTTAAGATGACTGGATTTCACATTAGGGGATATTAGCTGACCAGAAAGATTGAAGCTCCGTCCACATGCTCAAACCAGAGCCATCAACTTGAAAAACCAGTTGAAGTGTAGACGGTCTCAAAATTTATTTTTAAGTTTTATTTATTTACTTTTTTAAACATTGCATAAACACTTATTATTTTAAAATCTATTTTATTGATTATGCTATTACAGTTGTCCCATTCCTCCCCTTTATTCCCTTTTGCCCTGCACACCCCCTCCCACCCACATTCCCCCCTTTTAGTTCATACCCTTGGGTCATACATATAAGTTCACTGGCTTTTACATTTCCTATACTATTCTTAACCTCCCCCTGTCTGTTTTCTACCTACCATTTATGATACTTATTCTCTGTACATTTTCCCCTCTCTCCCTCTCCCACTTCCCTGTTTATAATCCTCCATGTGATCTCCATTTCTGTGGTTGTGTTCCTGTTCTAGCTGTTTGCTTAGTTTGCTTTTGTTTTTGTTTTAGGTTTGGTTGTTAATAACTGTGTGTTTGCTGTCATTTTACTGTTCACATTTTTAATATTTTTTCTTAAATAAGTCCCTTTAACATTTCATATAATAAGGACTGGATGATGATGAACTCCTTTAACTTGACCTTATCTGAGAAGCACTTTATCTGCCCTTCCCTCGTAAATGACAGCTTTGCTGGACAGAGTAATCTTGAATGTAGGTCCCTCACTTTCATGACTTAGAATACTTCTTTCCAGCCCTTTCTTGCCCGTAAGGTCTCTTGAGAAATGAACCAACAGTCTTATGGAAATTCCTTTGTAAGTAATTGTCTTTTTTTTCTCTTGCTGCTTCTAAGATTCTCTCCTTGTTTTTCATCTTGGGTAATGTAATTTTGATGTGCCTTGGTATGTTCCTCCTTGGGTCCAACTTCTTTGGGACTCTCCTGAGCTTTCTGGATTTCCTGGAAGTTTATTACCTCTGCCAGATTGGGAAAGTTCTCCTTTGTTATTTCTTCAAATAAGTTTTCAAATTCTTGTTCTTCCTCTTCCCCTTCTGGTACTCCTATAATTCAGATGTTTGAATATTTAAAGATGTCTTGGAGGTTCCTAGGCCTCTCCTCTTTTTTTTTTCCCAGTCTTGTCTCTTCATTCTTTTCTGTTTGAATGTGTCCTTCTTCCTTCTAGTCCACACCATTGATTTGAGTACCAGTTTCCTTCCCATCTCTATTGTTCTCTGTACATTTTCCTGTATTTCACTTAGCATAGCTTTCATTTTTCAATCTAATTTGCAGCCCAACTCAACCAATCCTGTGAGCATCCTGATTACTGGTGTTTTGAACTGTGCAACTGATGGGTTAGCTCTCTCTTCATCGCCTACTCATATTTTTTTTCAAGCTTTGGCCTGTTCTTTCATTTGGGCCATTTTTGTCTCCACATGCCTGTTACATAGTAAGGGGCAGGGCCTTAGGTGTTCACCAGGGTGGGGCAGGCCACATTGCTGCATTGTGATGTTGTATGTGGGAAAGGGGTTCAAGAGGGAATAATGGTGTTTGCTCCACTCTACTGGATTTCAGTTACTTCCCCCACTACCCACAAGCAAATTGGGCCCTTTTGGTGCTGAATCCCATGTGGGTTGGTTTGTGTACATTCTAGGACCCTGTGGGTCTCTCCTGTGAGGCTGAGAGTTTCTTTGACTGCTGGCTCAACTCCCACAGCTGTTTTCAGTTGGTGGTTTGAGGCTTTATTTCCCTGCACTGGCACCCTGGGTTGCATGGACTGTGTCACTCACCAGCTGTACCTCCCAGTTTATCTGAGCTCGGATATAGGACCTTCTGCTCCACCAACTGCTGACTTGCCAGGTATCCAGATGCTGCTTTGCTGGCCAGCTGTAACCTTGCCCTTCCTGTTCCACAATCCACCACATCACTGGGACTTCCATCTGCCCCCTGGCCTGCCCCTATCCTCCAGCCACTGCCTTGCCAGGAGTCCTCTATGTGCTGCTTCCTGGCTCTGCCCCACCTAAAAGTCTGGATGAATATGTCTTCTTTAACTCCTTGGTTGTCAGACTTCCATCCCTTTAGATTTTCGGTCAGTTCTGGTTGTTTTTGTGTTTTTAAATTGTTGTCCTTCTTTTGGTTTTGTGAGGATGCACGGTGTGTCTACCTATACCTCCATCTTGGCCAGAAGTCCTGGTCTAAAACTTTATAAACATGAATGGGGACCAAGATGGGAAAAGAGAAACAGAGGGTAACTCACTTCCCACAGGTGCAGTGACGGGGAAGTCCAAGGGATATTGCACCTGGGAGCTGCATCCCTCTGGGAGCATGAGGTCACAGCCCATGGAGTCCGCAGTCAGGGAGTTGGGAATGGGAACCAACATAGCATCTGGTTGTGGGAATTTGTGGGAATTTGTTCCACATGGGGGACTCTGAGGATGGCATCCCAGGGAGGGAATGACCCCATTGTTACAAGACCAGGATCTGTGACTGCTTGAGGGTCATTGCAGCAGTCCCAGGCTGGAGGAAGGATCTACTTGGTTAACCCAGTAGTGACTTTCAGGGGCCCTTATTCTCTTCAAGGACTGTGGGCAGAGAACCAATGGCAGTCTGGACTGTGTGGCTTGAGGAAGAGC